AGAAAAATCGTTTCTTATCGCTTTCCTTCGAATACGAGATGAAAAATTGTTGTTCCACGAAGAGAGCCGCCAAATCTCGATTGCTTTCGTATACATTAGATAGGATATTTATATATACCGTTAATCACATCAGATCGTATATCTGCGCTTCGCGAGATCAGTAAGTAAATAGCCGTAAAATGGCGATTACACAGTGTCCAATTAGGAATCACGAGATGATCCGCGGAGCACGAAAGCGAAAGTGTTTAAGCAAGGCGTGACGAAACGAAGCACAGTTCGTCAAACCACGAATTAAACGAACATGATGCATACAAATCAATCGCACTTTTTAGAAATATTTAAAATCATCCTTTTTTATTCTCTGAACTGAAAGACGAAATCTTTTTTCAAGGTAAAAAATACATTCTACTTCAATAAATAAAGAAAACTGCGTACGGTACATGTGGGTTAATCGTACTTTATTAGAAATATTAAATCATTCTTTTATTCTCTGAAACGCTAAAAAAGTATTTTTGTCCAAGATAAAAACTATCCTGCTTGAACTAAATAAAAAAAATGTGAAAAATTGTCAGTCGGAAGAATTAATTTCACCGATTATTTGATCATGCTATTCTTTCTACATTGAAAAAAGAGTACGTAGAATTACTTAATAATATGTGTAAAAATTATACAATTTATAATGGAAATTAAAACATGTGCAAGTATATAAAATATGTGCACTTTTACAAAAATTAGTATACTTTTCACTTTCTAGACTCTTTCGTTACAATTTAATATAAAATCGTAATACATTGCGCAAATGTTTGGAAAAATGCATGAAGGAATAAGATGTACGATCTAATTGTAAAACAATGAGACATGATATTCACTGATAAAATATCGTTTCAAACATATGTTGCTATTTAACACAGAGTTCTACGTTGGATGTACCTACACGTTTCCAAAAATAATGCGGTCGTTACCCGCATCATATGCTGAAAATTTAACATCATAGAAAGTGTGGAGAAACGCATTATGTCCACATTGTTATCATTATACATTAACTTAATTATATATTTACTTAATATACATGTAATGATAACAATGTAGAGACATACATGCATATATACATGCACACAAAATTTTTAAAATATTTCAAGTAATAATATAGAAAAATTTTCCATAAGAAGGTATTAATTTGAAATTTCTAAAATTGTATATATATATATATACATATTTATTTATTTATAAATTTGAAACAAATAAATATATACGTATATACTTTTATTTATAGATTCGAAATTCCTTTCTTATAAAATATATCTTCTTATATTGTTATCTGAAAGTTTTTACAAATTGTACATCATAAATTTAATATTATACAATTTTATATACTTAAAATATTGTACAATTTTCCGACAGTGTCGGAAAAGTAGTAGAAGAAGAGAGCATACATATGTGCGTATATATGTAAAAGCAAATAAAATGATAAAATACATTACATATATATGTATCGAAATGTATTGTGCATAAAATTGTAAACCTACAAATTGTGGACCTTATTCTACCTCAAGTTCTCCATTACAAGTAATCCAAAGTAAATTCTCAAAACAGAATTTTTAGAAAATTGTACGCGCGAGGAGCTTCTGAAAGACTTACCGAGATATCGCCACGGAAAAGTGAAAGCCAGAGAACGACAGCGACGACGGTGGCAGTGGCGCTCGTGACAGATACGGATTTCGATCAACGGCCGCCTCGCTCCCGGCCTTGTCATGCCCGTTCGCACGTCCGTCGAGATGGAAACCACCGCCGCCGCGTATCCCCCATCTACAAAAACGGAAGTCGATGAAAGTGGAAAACGAGGTCCGAGCGTGGTGCGCGCGCGCGCGCACACATTCGTTTTTTGCCGCGCTATCGGCAGCCGGCCAATCGGATAGCAACGCGCGCTTCAGATCCGTCATGGACGCTCGTATTTCTATCGAGTAGATAAATCGTCTTTTTTTCTGCTCGCTTTTTAGGTACACACTTTGCTTTTGCAGCGTACCTTTTTGCCGTCACGTCGCGTCGGTTCGTCTTAAGGTGAATTAGAAATAATTCAATGCAACGTACAGATTTCACCATCACCATCGAGCAGCATCTTGTTTTTGTCGAAACAAAAATTATTGTCAGGGAAAGAAAGTTCCGTTTAATTCGTTCTCGATTGGAATATAATAGACAGGTAAAAAGGCTGTAAAACGAATATATATAAAGCCAGTTAAAAAGATAGGATACGACAATAATGTCGCACGAGTTTAGAGAACTGTCACTTCTGTGTAATAAACATAGAAACTGCGAAAAGTGATTTAAAAAATGAAAAAATGGATGTAACAATCAACGATTATATTTAA